GGGGGGGGGGGGGGTATGTGTATGTAATGTTCTCTTTCGTTGCTATGGTCTGTAAGGGGGGCCTGTCTGTAAGGGGAGGGGGGGGGGTGGGGGGGGGGGGGCCGCAAAATCTCGAACTTAAAACTTACACTCACTATTTTCTTCGAAAATATACGTGAGTTCCACAAAATGAACAATTAAATGGTATTCAAACACAGTTGAAAAGTTATGTCGAACAACGTATGGAAGAAATTGAAAAAAAAATGCAAGAAAAATACGATGAGATGATGGTTATTGTTCAAGCAGCAAAAACTGAATCGAATCAAGCTCTTGAGCGAGCAAGCCAAGCCGTTCAGTATGGCGAAATGTCAGTCAAACGAGCGACACAAGCAATAGAACATGCTAAACAACAAATTGAATTAACTGAACAACAACGGCAAAAACTTCAAAAGACCGCAGAAAAATGTGAAATTGACGTAGAACGAATGATTCTCGAACAGACACAATTCTGTGAGAGAAACATTTTGGAAGTATGTGCTAAAGTCCACAATGACATGGAAAATGCAAAGCAATGCGCCGAACAATCAGCTATAAAAGCTAGTGAAGCTGCACAAGCTGCTCGAGAGACTGCATCGTCTGCAAAGGATACTATGAAGGCAGCAAAAGAACAAATTGATATCCAACGGCAAGAAAGCGAAAGAGTTCTGACAGAAGCCAAAGAAATAAGAAAACAGAGTGAACAAGTGGTCAAAATGGCACACGATGCTGAGAAACAGGCGAGACGAGCAGCAGATGCATCCACATCAGCATTTGAAAGACTGGAAAAGCAATCGAAGAAAATGGAAACGAACTGACAATTGACATATACTTCATCTATACACACTTCTTTTAAAAGCTTTTCTTTCATTTTTTAATTTTGAATCAATTCATTTATAATACCTAGACCGAATATGAATTAGAGATGACCAAATCATGTTTACAACAGTCATATCAAACTTGAAACTTTAATTCAACTCAATTTTCAAGTTTCAGTTCAACTCGTGGCTATCACGAAACAATTCACACATTGAGAGAGAGAGTGATGCGGATGTGTAAATGATTTCCCCTACTAACGCCGAAAGGAGAGTGATGGAGGGTGAGGATGTAGGCGGGTGGTGAAGATGTGTGTTCGAGAGTATGTATCATTCTTCTCATTACATTCACACCAACAACCTTCGATTATTAATGTTTTCTAAGTATTTCAAGATTTGAAAAAAAAAACTAATAAATAATAAGAGTATATTTATATTTCTGTTTTTATGCGATGAAATCCACAGCAATAGAATTTTTCTACTGCTGTTCTTATTCTTTCGATTTGTCCGTTATCATCTTCACAAGACGTATTCTTACGAGCCTCTGCTAAAAGTTGCTGAGTGAGTGCTGACAGATCAACGGTTACACAATTATGTTCTTGAACGATCGTACGCCCAGCAATAATGACTTTCACTATGTCTTTCTTGCTCATTCGACTCAATAATAACGAGAGCATATCTTTCGGTGGTGATGGTCGTACACGATCTTGCATCATTCGACGCACATCAAGTATGATGATATCGGCCGGAGCACCAACTTCTACTCGGCCTCCACCATCATCGACGATTGTCTTTCTTCCGGTGACACAAGCTGCCTCGAAAAGGTCAGCTTCACTAAGTATTCGTTCTCCTCCAAATCCCCGTTGTAGATGCCAAAAAAGTCGAAGTTCTTTGAGCATGTCATCATCATCATCGAAGCTCATTCCATCTAAACCCAAACCAAAGCGAAGATTTGTACGTCGAAACAAACGAACAGGAGCCAAGCCCGAGCGAAGACGAAGGTTCGACGAGGTGTTAACAGATGCAGTAACTTGACGTTCAGCCAAAAGCTTACATTCTTCTTCTGTTAAATGAACAGCATGGGCAATAGTAAGTCGTGGTGAGAGCAAGCCAAGGTTGTCGAGATGGGCAATTAAACCACCTGGTGAATACTGAGCATCTGCTCGTTCACGTTGCCATATTGTTTCAAGTAGATGCATATGGATCCGACGACCACTTTCAGCCGAGCATTTAGCTATAAAGGCTAATGTCTCTTCAGATAGCCATTCAGGACCGGCTGGGCCAAATTGTACGCGAAAAAATTCATGCTCCAATGACGTGATACTGTCGAACAGTGCTTTTGTCTCATTGACCATAGACTTCAATTTCGTCGACCAATTCAGTATAGTCGCATGATCTTCGGATGGAAGAAACTTGAGTAGGTTTTTGATTTCTCCGTAAACATGTAAGTTTTGTTCGACGAATGGTACAGCAAAAGCAACACGGATGCCAACATCACGAGCAGCACGTGATACTGCTTCCGCTTCATTGAATAGAAGCTTAGGATCTAGAGTATTGTGACAATGATTCGTGGCACATATGCCACTCTCGGCCATACGTGCAAATGCCACTGTAGCGAGTACGTATGGATCAGTACGAGGCTTATAAGAAAGAGCTGGGAGCCATGTTTCAAGTGTTTCATCAGGTGCGTCGAAAGAGAGCGTAGGTAGACCGCAACCATGGTCATGAGCGTTAGAGATAGCCGGTAGAGCAAGAAGATGCTTTGCTTCTGGTTGCAAGTCTTCAACAGATAATGAACGAAGAGAGACAATACGACCGGAACGAATTTCGATCCGAGTGGCCCCTAAAGGTGGATCATGACCTGGAGAAGTGTAAACTGTACCAACGTCAATGTATTCTGACTTATCATTTTCTGTTGTCGTCATTTCTAAAAAGAGTGCTACAATGAAAATTCTTCAAATACAAGTTGAGAAAGTATCTTGAATTTAAAAATCACTTGCAAACATGACCAAAAAACTGACTGTGACGATTTTTGATAGAAGGGATATTAGTGCTGATGGTATTACACTTTATTCTATTCCTTCATATCATATAATCGTATCGTTTACATACATAGCACACGCTTATATACGCAAGTAGAAGAAGAGAGGATGAAAAGAGAAGATAAGGTCAAGGAGAGAGCCGATATAGGAGAACAATAGGATAAGGACAGAAGCATAGTAATAGAAAGGTAAGGGCAATGTATAATATACGAGTGAGCGATATGGGAAGGTTTAGTAGCAGGTATGAAATTCAATCAACCGGAATCGTTACACTGGCTGATTATTTTTTTATGATTTTCATTTTCTTAGCAAGAAGGTTTTATAAACTTTTCAGAAGAAAAAAAGATCATTATTTACTAGTTTCACTGTTTTGATAAAATGTATCATAGAACACTTCTTAGAAAACATTTACTTGTAAATCGTTGAATTTTTTCATCGTAATATTGAAAGATAAGGTAAAAATAAATAAAACAACGAAATTCGACAAATACATTTTCCGTTAGACGTCCACCAATACCTTATTAACCGTTGACGAAACTTCCAAATCACTCAAACTTAGGTTTTTACATACTTTTGCGTACTTCAGCGAAACCATGTGCAACACATGTAATAAACAATATTTGCTTGCGCTGTCGTGCAATAAAATAAATGTAATGCTTGTTTTGTGATTCTTTACATACAACACATTGTCTTACGACGATAAAACAGAGAAAGAATCAAGAAAAGAACGCTGTGCTTATCTGTTCTCTACTTATATTCCTGGTCAACAAAGTGTGTGTGTGTGTCTGAGTGGGTTTGAGTGTGGGTGACTCGAGTTGAAGAAAAGACTTATTCGCAACCCACATCCATACCCTTGTATTACGAATTCTTGATGAATTATTTAATTATCGAATCAGAGATGAAGCTGGTACCGGTACGACTTTTAGACCGGCCGGTAACCAGTAGACCGACCGGTAACCGGTAAACCTATCTGTCTAACCTTTTTAGACCACTACAGTTCTAGTTGTCAAAAATTCAGACTAGTTCTATCTCTATATCAGGTATGTGATACAACTTGGCAAATAAAGTTTGTCACGCGATAAGCCATATTCTTTATATCTAAACCACTTTTTTCTGCCTGTGAATTGTTGATGTATCATGCGTTACTGGTAGAGAGGCCGGTCCGGTCCGGTCTGACTTTTTCAGACCGGTATTGGCACCGGTCTGAGAAATTTTAGACCGGTTCCATCTGTGTATCGAATTTTACTAGAAGAAGATAATGCTAAATTAGCTGACATCTGGCCTATTGAAAATGTATGAGGAATTTCAAAGGAAAAAGTAAGAAGAGAATTATTTTCAAGTTTGGAACAGCTAAAAATAAGATTGAACAAATAATGGAAAAGATAACTTGTAATATTTGTAAAACAATGATCGATAAAATTTCTAACGGACTCGGCAAAGTGATAAAAAATGGTGAATAACAGATACATGATAATTAAACCACTTTTTTGTCGAAACAAATTAATATCTTTTTTTTTAATAAAAATTTTATCATAATATTATCATGTTAATATTTTTATTATTACGAAAGAACATGTATTCTAATAATACACAATTTGAAAAATTATCACAAGTACTCAAACTTCATATAAAAACGTTTGGTTTGAGATTGTTTTTTGTTTGCGTACAGCCTGACTTTTATTGAGTCGCAAAACTTATGAAGCACCCTGTAGCTACCGATAGGTAATATCGGCCTGAAGGTTAGAACAGATCACTAAACGTGAAAAAGTCAATCCATGATGATATACAAACAAGACATTATATGATTATTGTGCGTTCTTTTTCTGCTAAATAGTTATCTTGCAACAAATGCGTAATGCATACATATGAATCAATAGATAAAAATAATCAATCATTTAAATGCAATAGCATTCATAAATGGCAGAAAGATTGTGCACCATATTGAATAGAAGAGATCGAAATCGCAATGCAATAGCATACAAGAACGCTCTCATAAATTTGTCATTCCATATTTCAATATATTATGTGCATCAGAGCTCTGATCGATATATCGACGATGTCTTGTGTGATTAATAGTTTTTGATTTCGATAATTAGAGCGACAGCTTTTTTCAGTCATGTTCACGATAACGATAGCTTTAAAATGTTTTCGTGATTACGATCACCAGAAATCATGAATAACAATTCGTTACATTTTAATACGAAAAAAAATTGTTCATGTTTGGAAAATGTTATTGGTCTGACATTTGATAATGGTAGTAAAATTTCGTTGCAGATAATGAATTTTGAATTTGTATTATTTATTCTTAACATTTTGATCGATTTTTTTCACTTAACAATATTTCTTATATACTCATGTCCTAATATTCTTATATTGAAAACTGAACCATACATATCGATAAAAGAATGAAAATAATCACAATCACAGTAATGTGCTGACGAACAGTAAATTAATTGAATTTATTAAAATTAAAGTTCTACTTATTGAAAATAATCTCTAAGAAGATCGAAGCGTTGAAAATAAATATAATAAATTCAAAATTCACCATTTATCACTCTATTTTACAATGATTATAATTATTATGTTCTGTTTTTCGATATTTATGCGTGATATATTCTGGTGGATGCACTAAAAACGAACAGAAAAAAGTAGGCGAAATTATTTGTTTGTGTCTGTACTATTTATTTGAATCAGACTGTTTAGACTTCTTAACAAATATTTAATATCTCAAATCTGTTTCTTGATCACGACGACACAGAGTACTGTATATTGATTTTTAACATTTACATTTCTATTTACGGACACGAACGAGAAGAAACAGAAAGGCGTATAAAGCAACTGCAAGGGCACATACTGATCTCGCCCATTATTTTTTCTATGTGCATATTTTATTTCGAATAATAACTAGAGAAGCAGAGCGCACATTCTCTCATTTGAATACGCACTCTTGTAGACATGAAGCTATTCGTTTTCTTCATCTTTCTGGTCTGTATTATTTCTCGCATTTCAGCTATTATTTGTTATTCTGGAATGTCCGATTCTTCTGTCCCTGTGCTAACAGTAGACACGAACATAATGTCAAGCACATGCGGCAACGATACGTGCGTGTGCACGAGCTACAAATTTGTTTGTTTTAGTGGTGATCAAGGTTGTACAGTACAAGAACAACAAGCACAAGTGCAAAAATGGACATGGACTATAGTTGGAAATATGACGTGTCAACAGATGTTAATGATGCCCTCCACCTATATGAGTGCAACGTGCTGCTATGCAAACTACTGCAACAACCAGAACATAAATAAAGCTGGTAGTATCAAATCTAATTTTTATCTGCATGTAATATTTATTGCATTGTTGTGGCTCATCAAATAAATATTTTAACAAATCGTTAGCATGGAAAACACTTCTATTGTGCTTTCGAACAAGAACTAAAATAGCACTGATACAGAATTACAAATTTCGAACGTAGAACTTATTGCCTATTAGCTCAATTACACGAAACTCTACTTGTTATGATAAAGAGACCAAATGTGACTATAGAACGGCTGTATAACAATGTCGATGTGGGTGTGGGTAGTAATTAGGAGAACACCCACACTCACACCCTAATAAAGAAAAAGTCAGATATCACATCCACACCTACCCAGACTCTCATTTCGGGAAAAATATAAGTATTGCGAGAGCATAAAACCAGCCTAAAATAGCTGGTGATGAAGGCAAATGATAAATTCGAAATCATCAATCAGATCTAAGTGACTTACCTTATTTTCAATTTAAATATTCCTAAAATAAGTTACTATGACATCTGTGCGCAGGAATAGAAATCATTGAATCTAAACTGAAAGACATATTTTTTTTTACACAAAGATGTTCATCTGACAGCACATCAAGATAAGATAAAAGTTTGACCGATGAAGCTAAAATTTATAGAAGTGATTACTAACTTTGACTTCTGCAATCGATGAAAATTTCATGTCAAACAATCTTTGTTCTATCACAAAACCAAATGGCCTATAATCATCTTCCATTATATACTATATGAAGAAACGCCTTATTCCGTGATAACACTTGTCAAATCAACCATCAAGATACCAAACTTTTGAGTACATGTCCAACGAACACCAAGTTAGCAGGTTTCAGGTGAAAATTCTGAGGGAACCTATCGAGTTAATTCGGAGATACGTCACCATATCTCAGCCAAAACTCATTCGTTGAGTTTAACAATTTGGCTATATATTCCTAAAAACGTCTGCTCAACAAAATGGAATCATTTTTATCTAATTCTAAAATGTTCGCTTGAGCATCTATATTGAATATTGATCGTGATGAAAAATATTGTAATGGAAATACAAACACGTTTCGACTCAGAAAATATTTGCATAGGTAAAAAAACAAAAATATTGCTTTTTTTAAATAAACATCATAAGAGTTAATTACATTAAGAAATAACACAAAATCTCTTTGCTTTTTGTTGTCGAAAACAAAGTTTTTGTGTAAATCTTTTCATTGGATCAAGATAATATTCTTTTAACCATATTTGTTTGAAAGCAAAAATCCTTTTAACTTCACAAATACGTCCTGTAATGATCAATGATCGAGTAAGCAGCATCGGATGATTCATTGCATCGATGTCGTAAAATCTTCCACGTACATCATGACATAGTTGATCACTTGGAAAGAATATTTTGCCAATAAATAAATCTGGACTCAAATTGAGAGCCAAAAAGAAGACAAATTGATCTTCGTCATCAGATAAGGATGACCAATTCGAATAATTTGTAAAGCGATCAATATCACTATCCTCATAATTAATACAATGACAAAGACAATTTAAATAATACATTATTTTAGCTATATCATTATTTGGAATATTTAGTCTTTCACTTCTATGAAAAATGTGGAATATGTGTTTTTTTAAATATGGCATTTTCTTAGATATTGATTTTCTTGTAGAATATATTTTTTCGATCATATTCCTAATATTAAATAATAAGTGTTTTATATACTACTTACTTCTATAGAATTTGAGTGTGATACATAAAATAGGAAGTTGATTACGCATTAAACTGAAAGAAGAATACTGAAAGGCTACACATTTAACAGAAAGAAAAAACACTTACGACTGACTCATACTTCTTCTTATAGCTCAACTTCTTCCCTTTTTTCTTAATGTTATACTTATCGACTATACAATTTATCGACACACTATACTTATAGAGTAAAAAACAACATTCTACCTGATTTGACGTAGGTAAATTTCACCATTAAAAAATATTTTGTCGAGTCAATTTTACATAATAACTGTGATATTGTTATTGTAAACTATTATTTTGAATGATTCAAGTGTTTTCAGAAAATTCTAATTAAAAATTTGTTTTCGATCAACAAAAAATGATTAATTTAGATCTAGAAAACATAGAACTTGTATGTTTTTTTTTTCACAACTAATTCGAATCGAAATGAACTATAGAAAAAAAGATGGTTTTCAAAAAGAATTTCTACTTTTATTATTGCAATCAGTACTTTAAAATATATATGTTTTCCTTGTAATCATTAGTAACATTTCTAATGCTCTATTAAATAATTCACCAATATTATTTACATAACAACCCATACACAATGAAGAAGTGTTATATCAATAGAAAATTTCTTTCGATTCTCTTCTTATAAAAAACGTCAAATTTTTGAGGATTTAAAAAATTCTGCGTACTATCGTCATTAATCATATTAGTTCGAAGAATATCCGATCAGAACGTAAGTGTGACGAGGTAAGTTAGCAATGTTTTCAAACTTTGTAAATATTAATAACTCCTAAGATCTTAGTAACCTTTTCTTTATGTTCATTTATTCAATACAATTCAAAAAGAAAATCTTACTTTTATGTATACTAACGAATTTAATTTATTTGATAATATGAAGCTCATGAGGCCAATGAATTTTAAAATCTATATCATTTTTTTTTCATATGAAAAATTCTTCTATGAGATCATTTAGGACGTATCTTAGTTTTGTAAGTATACAAATTCTGCTGAGGTTTAGGTAGAACTGTCAGTATCTAAAAGAGTCTACTAGATCTTGTCTTCTTGATAAATGTGTCCACTCACACACTCATATAAAACAGTAAAAGAAATTTCGAAACAACTTGCATCATAAACGATAAAGAAAGAGTCTTTTTCATGTAAGATAATGCAAACTTGATCTTCAAAAAACATCATAACATGCAATATTGACTTGATGAAATCAGCTTTGCAGTATATTTTTTTATCAAAAACAGAAACCTTGTACGACAAGTAGTATTGCACAACATACCCTTTATCATGACTGCAGCGGCACACGAGATAGAGCATAAGCTCGACAATTCAAGGTTATGTATCAAGCTCACTTTTCTGGACCTCAAAAGTTCACTGATCAATTTGACATTTCTATAACTTGATCAGCGTCATCGAAACACGCGAAACGAATATTTTTAGCATTTTTGTTGGTCTTGTATATTCAATCTGAAACTATTACCGACTTCGTGTAAGTAGCCAAATAGCTGTTTGAAAATGGGCGAAAGAAGACAAACAGTAAATGTACTAAACGATTTCCTGTGTATGTAAACCTATGCTATAACACATCTCAAACCTTTCAGTCTACATATCTAAATCGTTTGTCAACTACTTTTCATGGTTTCGAGTCTAATTTGATGTAGCTGCTCGTTCTCTTTTTTTTCAGTGGATGATATTTATTTTGTTGGTTCCAAATACTGTTATATAAACTAAAGTATGTTGTAACGAAAATATATTGCTGGTTGAATTGCGACAGTACAAGAGTACTATTGGTTATACGTTACTATTTCAACTACAATAACGACAATGCTTCATTCCTGTGATGTAGGTTGGAAGTGTGGGTTTTATCTATAATCGTCAACGACAGAAAAACTTAAACCCTACTAGAGAGGGCGCTGGAGGCAGAACTTTTTTTCAAAGTGTTTCATATATTTTTTTCTGCATTTTTCAATAAATATAAAGTTTTTATCTAAATAAATTTTCTGGATCCTGTCAATTTTCCGAGATTATCGTTGGTAGATGGCACTGAATATTCAATAATGACTATTCGAACCAATAAAACATATGATGTACGCAAGGAATGATCAACAGATAAGTTTTTGCTCTTATTTAGAATTGATATCCTATGAAAATGCGTTGATGATAACATCATCGGTTGACATTGAACACTTTATCTTCGAGAAATTCAGCTGCCATTCGAAAAAGAATAATTTTTGTGATATAATGGCACCAATAATATTGCTTTTTGTTTTTGTTAGAATCCTTATTAACTATATTTAATTCTTTTGTCTATACTTTGTCTGTTCATTGTTTTTTAAATAAAAAACATTCTTAGAATATTAATTTCTTTTTTCCAGACAAATAATGGATAGGACGCATAAAAGAACTTGAATGTCTTATCGTAACTAATTTGGCGATTTCAATGTCATTAAAATCCTATGACTTTCGCCAATTAATCGATGTTTGACGATTCTTTCAATAAATATTAAATATTATATTATGAAGAAAAATGTTTTTTTGAATTACTTACGCTGGATGGGAAGAAAGAAATTATCTCGTTTCTCATTCAAAAGAAACATCTATGAGCACGATGATAAAAGATGGTAACATACTGATATAATCTCAAGATTGTTTGACCTTGAACTTGATGAACATAAGCATTCAGAAGTCCTTTTATGTTTTTTTAGTCAATGTGAAATCATCATTCATCTCCGAACTATTAGCTATTTCCTTACTGCTCTCGACGTTCTACATTATCATTTTCTCGTAAACGATTGTTTAAACGTTTCTTACCTATTAACCTTCTTTATTTTCTATTCTAGATTTGTTTTGCTTTGAGTTCGATAATTATTCGGATTATCAGAAAATTCTTAAAAAAGCAATTTGAAATTTACTTAAGAACAGATCATAAAAATCATTTGGCATTGCAGTTGTCTGTGTAGGTGCAAACAAACTATGAGCAATATCACGGTTGATGAACATTGTAGGACTATTCAAAAAAATAAAACAGATATTAGCACTGAACAATTGAAAACATCACTGGATATATTTGTTTCTACTTTAAAAATCATCGATACTTCTGATATAAAAAGTGTGCTGATCGAACAAATTATTTCTGCGTTGGCTAGTTTACCATTTAGGCATAAGAAACTCACCGAGTCTGAATTGATCACACACGAACTTTTTGTCGTTTTACGTGACAATATAATTATCGATCAGCTTCGTCGAAAACAAACTGAAGACAATATTACACCGAAAGTCCTTTTGAATGCTTCAATCTTGTTTATGAATCTATGCTATAATATCGACGATACTAATATTGATGAATTTAAACATTTATTTTTTTATAAACCATTAATCGATGAATTTGCAAGTTGTCTTAATGAGATTGGTAGTTATGGCAAACATTTGAATGATCCTCTGCTTCTTCGTTCAGTCATCTCTCTACTAACAGCATTCAAGAATTTTCTGATAAAAAACATTATAGAAAATGATTATTCGCTGATTTCACCAATCTTTTTTGCTGTTATTCAATGTTTATGCTCTTCATATGCTATTGACATGATCAAAAGTTTGGAGCACAATTTTATTCAGAAACTCAATGAACGTCAAATGCTGTTTCTTCATATGATGCCATGGTATTTACAATGGTATCCTGATTATCGTGATCCTGAAAATTTGATCAAGATCTTACGAATATTATTGCATGAATTCACTATATGGATGGCAACATGTCATCCAGATTCTTATCTTAAATGTACTGGTCAGTTTGGTGCTATGATCCGCCATCTAAATTATTTTCTCGTCCGTCCTATAGAACCAGATAATGTGAGCATTTTTAGTGAAGAATTTTACCATGACTACACTAAGTTGGTTTTGCATTGGTCATTAATTTTATCATCAACCTTGACGCATTCTTCTAAGAGAATGAATTTCATATCAGCTACACGAAACATCATTCAAGCTTTGTATAATTTCACATTGCACTTGAATGTACTAAATTTTATGAAGACCATACCGACCTTGATTCCTATGTTTTTGAAAATGACTGATATTGCACACGATGAAATACAATTGAATGTTTATCGATGTTTGGGAAAAATTATGAATGAAGCAGACATTAAAACAATGGCGTGTCCGGGTAAAATTGCAGCTGTATATATCGAATTTATTACGAATACTATCGATAATTCAAAAAAAAGAGAACGATTTTATAGTCTGTTGGAGAGCTTAAAAAGTATGTTATTACCTATGGTAGATTTCTTGCATTCTTTTTGATTATGAATTCATTGTCAAATTCATTTTAGATTTCGCTCAACATGATCAAGTTAAAACTGAGCTGATAGAACAGGGCGCACTTCCTTTACTAGTAAAATGTGTCTTGGAAACTCGATTTGATCCAATTAAAATACAAAAAACAGCTCTCGAAATTCTTCTCGCTCTCTCGTTTCACAATGACGCTTGTTCTATTCTAAAACAAAATGAAAACTTCATGAATCGTTGTCGAATTCTTGCTGAAAATACTAATTCGGATCGATTCGATTTACAACGAGCTGCTGAAGGACTTCTTTGGAAATTAGAAAGAGAAGACGAAGCTGTTGCTAAATCAACTATTTTGAAATCGTACCTATACGATATGATGATAAGTTATTCTCACAAAGATAAAGAATTATGTCTTCGAATTCATGAACAACTAGTGAAAGATGGATTTAAGGTTTGGGTTGACAGAGATTGTTTACGTGGATCGACAATGGTCGGCATAGCAAATGCCATTGAAAATTCTGAATATGTACTTATCTGTATGTCGAACACATATAAAGAAAGTGTCTATTGTCAATCGGAAGCGCATTATGCATTTGAACGAGGATGTCGTCTAATACCTATCATGCTAGAATCTAATTATAAACCGGACGGATGGCTTGGTATCATTGTCAGCGGCAAGATTTATGTGGACTTTGCCAAAGTTGAATTCAAATCGTCCTATGAACAGTTAAAGAATGAGATTATTGAACAACGACATAAATATGCAATAAAACCGTCAACAAATTCAAAAGAGAAGGATCCGGAAGATACAGATTCCATGAGCCTAAAACAAGCTGAGCTAGTTTCTGAATCCATCAAGTAAGTTTTATTTGTAGATTCTGTTATTGATTCTATAAGAAAGCTGGTAGTGAGCGATCCCCGTGTAGTGCTGTTTCGTTTCTCAAATATAAAACTTGTATTGATTTTTTCTTTAAATAAAAGGCTCTCGTTCTCTGTACATTGCCTTCATAAATCAGCTTTGACCTCAAATTTCGCAAGAAAATAGCGTTAATGTCATTTGATAATTTTCTAAGTATCACTTGATTAGATATTTTGTATTCTGAGATATATCATCTTCATCCTCCAATTCTGTTCTCATATTCAAAACGCATGAAATTTTAAGTTTAATTCGTTCGACTGAGAACTATATTAATATAAAGTTTAACACCGTATATTAAAAATACATTTTCAACAAGGCCAGAGGATGATCGACGTTTTTTTCTGAAAAACTCAGCATTCGAATTTTCAATTACTTTATCTTTGGATGAGATCCTGAATTATTCTATGCGATATCATTTCAAGCGATAGAAGTGATATTTTCGAACGAGATGAACGCTGAAAATTATTTTTTCACAGACCAATAAGATTCATAGTAAATATTTCTAAGTTTTTTACGACACTTTTGAGTAACCCACCAAACGCATTTTTGAGTATTATGAATAAAATTTATCATTGATGAGAGTACATCGAACGTTTCTTGAAAGCTTTATTTAATTAATACACATAAAGAACAGAATCTTTGTTCTTGATTTTCCTAACACTGAGCGCATATTTTTTTTTTGAAAAATTCAGTGTCGTTTTCTTAGATGTGTGCTAATGAGTTGCAATAGTAAACTTAGTCTGTTGTTAGATAGTACTCTAGTAAATTATGTAACTATGATTCTCTGATAAACGAATGAATACGGTTACTCTTCATTCTTATCCTCTACATTAATTGATCCTTTCTTTTTCATCAGTACTATTTTTTCAAATGGATTCAACAATGTTATCCTTGTCTACCTCTCGTAAGTTACAAAAGAAAAAGATGAAGTCTGCATAAACTTCTTATGTCTGGTCTATTTTCTTTGTTAGTTATTGCACTCTTAAAAAACCCACTTATATTCTACGAGTTTCAATATTGATATACTCTAATTAGCAACAAGAAATAACATCTTTTCTTATTCCAGTGTCATAGGTTATTCCTTTTTATAGTAACTTACCTAATTGTATCACTCAATGGACTCATGATCATGTCAAAGTATTTCTTGTACGAATCGGACTTGGTAATACAATACTTCCTCTTTGTCCACGTGTCGATGGTCATCGTCTTCTACAACTTTATCAAATGTGTCTTATCAATCCTGAGTCAATGTATCAATCGCTGAAATTCGAACTAAACCAAAGACATCACACATTATTACCAATAGCTGATTATCTAAATTTTCTTCACGAGATTAAACTGTATGTGCCATCAACTGCAATAAATGAGAAAACTGTACAGTCTTCTTCACTTGATTCTGCGATGTGCGGTATTATGTAGAAATATTCAATTTACTTTATATGAAAATGAACAATAAACATTAGCAAATGTATTTAATCATGTTAGTATTTGTCATCTATACTGTATAAGTCTTTCACGAAATATGACGTTGCAGACGAATTAGAATTTCACATCATATGTGTTTCACGATAGTTAGCAGTATGAGAAGATGAAACTTATTGACGAATATATTGATGATTAGTGATCTCAGTTTAAAACGAACTGAGTTGAAAATGATATTATTCTCAATTATAAGAGTTTTCTCTGTTAATTCGCACACCAGTTGTATTGAAAAAAGAGAAAAGATCAAGCTCTTGAAAAAGACATTGTGCGAGAACATAAGTAGGTGCAAACATAGGTGTGTCTGACGAAAAGATTTAGCCGAACCTGTACACCTCCACAACCACAAATGTGTGGGTATGAATGCATTAAAGACCTTTATCCAGTCTCATACAATCGTTTTCAAATTCTCACACCTTTTGAGTCTACCCTGTCTGTCCATGATTTTGTGACTCTTACGGCTCCACGAAAGTGATTGCTGATCACATAGGCAAATATTATAGGGATCAGATTCATTTCTTACTTTCAATAGTCATATTTTTAATAGCAACCGTGATTTATTTCATATAAAGAACCAAAAAAATTAAAAATCGCAATAAGTCTATTCGATACAAAGACGTTGTACTCGATTATTCTTACAATCAGCGACATAGAGATTGCCATGTCTATCGAAGGACAAACCCATGGGATTCTTCAACTGATTTGCTCCTTCTCCTTCACCATTTCCACCCACAATAACAGTGCCCTGTTTTGATCCTTTAGGCCAACATATTATTCGATGATTCCCGCAGTCTGCCACATAAACAGTATCCAACGCATCAACGAACACCCCTAGAGGATGAGATAATGATGTCAGAGCATTTCCTTGGTCGTGACCACCAGCAACGACAATTCCTTCTTTTGCGCCTTTATTCCATTTCATCACACGATGATTGTTGTTGTCCGACACGTAGACAGCCTGTTGTCGGTCGACAAAGAGGTAGATTGGCACGTTTAGTTGATTGAGACCATTGCCTTCGCCATGTCCACCGGCCACGACAGTTTCACTCTTGTCTCCTATTTTATATCGTCTTACTTCATGATGTTCGGTGTCAGAAATGTAGAGATATCCTTGATCATCCATGGCCAATCCATAACCATGGATATTGTTGAGGAGGATTTCACCGTGTGTTGTGCCACTACGACGAGACCATCTTATGACTCGTCGATTTTTTCGATCACATATAATGAGAGTATCCGTCTCTTTGTCGATCAATACATCTGTTGGTTCATTCAATTGATGCAATTGATTTCCTGGGCCATGGCTACCAGCTACCACTTGTCCATTGATATCACCCATCCTCCATTGGATGATACGATGGTTTTCACGGTCAGCAATGATCATCGTTTGATCATCATCAATAAAAAGACCATGAGGTTGATCAAGTTGATTGGTGGCATCCCCGCGTCCATGGCCTCCAGCAACTGTCTGTACCCATTTGACATCAACTAGAATATTGCAAATCGTTATAATGAACAATAAAAAGAAAATGAATCGTTATCATTTTTTATCGAAGAAATTTCTCTGGCGGGAGCAAGAACTGAAAATACGACATTCATCTTCGAAGAAAATCCGGTGAAACTTTCGAGAATGTTCTTTCCTAACATAGTTTCAATAAGAAAGTTTCTATCTGCAAATAAAAGTTAAGAAATCGGTTTCTGGTTCCTATTAAAAAGAAAAGGTTCTATAATGCTCCTTACATCTATAGCACTTCCCCAATCGCAATCCTAATAATTCATTGAGAGACCCTAATATGATATAAAACACACCTTGTTTGCAGGGTCTTGTTCAAGTTCTTGTCAAGATCTTTTAGAGCTAAAAAGTAGAATCTTCAAGAGAGAATTCAACTTGCACCTGAAGATTGCTGGTAAGACGTATTTCAGGAAAAAGCTTTTCTGAAATATTGAAAAGATTAATGCTAATCGTATGGAATATCTGAAGATTTTATTCGTAATTTTCAAATCAAAATCTTAGTGAGATCATCAGAAACAATACTAGCAATATAAATCCTTGAAGGATTTATATGGCCTTCAGGAAAGGATTTAAGAAATAAAATAATGAATTTTGAGTCCTGGAAAAAACAATTGTACATAGTGTTCAATATCGTCTTCTACTTAAGATTATCTTGATCGAAGTTTTCGTACCGTCATGACTAGTGTAGCGATTAGTCTTTTTATCCGCCCATTGCCAACTTAGGCATACGAATTCAATGTTATTACCATTTTGTCAAAGAAATGACTTATTAGTTTGATTTTGATCTTTAAGAATGTGTAGCATGGAGATTGACATAATGGAAAACTCATATGACTTACATTTTAAAAAACACAGATCCCAGGAATATACTCAAGTAAAAAAAGCCTAGTATTTAGTAACATATAAAGATATACCAGTAAAATTATTCTACGTTTAAGGAGTCCATCTAATTATTGCACGTTCTCTGAAAGTAAAATATAGATGTGTAGATTGTTCATAGATATAGCACTATTTTTATTGTTTTTTGGCATTTTTCGATTATATGAAGTTGGACAGACATAGAAAAAATATATTTCTAACGTCGGAGCGATTATTCTAAATCGTCTATACCTTTATTTGAAATTATTATTAAGAAAATATGTTGTTAGAGTACATGCTAAAATATTTTTATAAAACTCTTTTTTTCTTATAATGAGAAAAATATTAATCGAACACTCACTATGTGTTAAGTTTTATCATTTGCGAACTTACGGAGTCTAATATTAAAATAGGTTTAGACGCTGTTTTTTTGTAATACATAGATAAGATAAAAATATAATGAAAATCGAACATGATAAGATGTTTTAATATTTTCACTTATAACGTGCATTCTTTAAAAACTATCAGTTAATGTAAATCTGCATTAGAGTATTGTTTTTCGTAGCTGCATAGATTCACTATGCACTTTAAAATCGCTTATTTTAAAAAATACCTCCGTCGTAAGTTCAAGTTGAGTAATCTTCGAAGAAAAAGAAACAAGAGCTGTGAAAAACAGGAAAACTTACTCTCTAATTAGAGACTACATACTATCTTCCAAAATCTCTCTATATATTTCATGTTGGTAGTGTGTGAAGTAATGTCAAACTGAATTTCCAACAAGTAATTCGAAGTAGTCATTGTAAGAATTGAACATTTGTCGACAACTTCCTCCATTAATATTTCATCGGATACGCCTAGAGAATTCTATTATTTAACGGTACAGTTTTTTAGGAAAGCACAAGATAGCATTGAAATTTTACTCAGAAAATACCTTAGGAACCTCTGTGTACGAATTATCATATTATGAATGATATTTGCAGATCATTCATCGATTGTTGTTCATTGTTATACTCACGATTTCCACAAAATCTAGATGTATAGCACTGATTTATTTTACTTCAGATAAAGAATTTCGACTCTTCTGCTTTAACGAGCTTCTGTTCGAATGAATTGACCTACTTACGTAGAAATTTTATTTTTTTTTTTAGTTTCTCGATTTTTTCTTCTAGTGCAGCTTTCTGCTGTTCCATTCGCTCTTCTAGTTGAATCTTCCATTGACCCACTTGCTGCTCTAATTGAATCTTCTGTTCTTTTAGTTCTTCTAGTTCAATCCGCTTATGTGTCACTTGCTCTTTGAGTTGCTCATTGTCTGAACGCTGTCCTTGGATAACATTGTACAATTCGACGAAAGCTGGTTTCAACTTTTTGAATAAGCATGTTTCCGAATGATTACTGAGTTGATCTTTTGGTCCCGACCATAAACATCCAATATCTTTCTCATCACATTTTACGCTAACCTTCGTGCAATATTTGTTACTATGTTCATCGAAGTCTGCCCTATACAAAGGTGCTGCCCCACAATCTTTACATTTGACTTGAACTCTATTGAGCATCGACATGAAACTTCCAGGTTCATGAGATTTCAAATTGTCAGCGCATAATTCTCGACCACAATCTTCCTCCGGACAAGATGGATCACTCTTAAGATGCTCTACAATGCATTGACGACAAAACGTGTGATAACATGTAGTCACGATGGGGTCGAAGATAGGATCATGGCAACATCTACATATAAGATGCTTATCAATAAGATGTTTTTCGATATATTCGTAGTTCTTGTTGGATGTCATCTGAAAAGAAAGAAAGCATCGGTTTTCCGAAGATGTGAATGAAAGTTCAGATATACACACAAGAGAAGACAAAACCAGCACCCACAATCATACCCTTTTATTTTAATCATCGTACTAGATGATATAGTTTTTTATTGCTCATTTATTTCGGATTTTTAGGGAAATCCGTTATTATTGATGAAGAAAATGATCTTGAATAAATTGTCTAAAGTAAAATTTTCTTAAAATTACTAATAGAAGAAAAGTTTATTTTTTCGACGAGTGACCAGTAGCTGACAGCGTGGTGATGGATGATCCATTGGAGGCACTCATTGATTATGCCTTTGTCGACATTAGTACGTATGTATTCATGAATTTTTCGATATTTTTATCAGCCGCTGGATTTTTCATAATATGCTCTTGTACAACTGTTAGCAAATCTGGATCTGGATTGATTTGCTGTCTTTTTAGTTCTTCGAGTTGTCCACAAATACCACTCGACTTGGCTGATCTATTTCATATAGTCTCAAACAGCATGCCAAAACTACTTTTGGTGGTTTCATGGTTTGTTCATTGTTGCCACTATGTATCAATAATTTAGTTTTCTGGGCACTTCGTTGAACTTCCTACATGGCCAATGGATTACTATTATGATCAAGATTGACAACAAACCCATCATGATAGTGACAACTGCCGTAATTAACTTGCATTGGAATATAATTGTGTTGACATTTTGAACCTAGTTTGACCTATTGATTATCGAGGCATTTTGCTTCTGCCTCTTTTTCTTTTTTTATATGTTGAAGCATCTTCTTGAACTCGATATCGTCGATTAATAGATTACGGAGAAATAGATGCTCAATAATCAAAACCATCTGTTTCTCTTTGAATTGTTTCTTAGCTGCTTCTGTTATGGTCTACAACATAAACTAATGATATATTAGGAAAATATTTTCTTGATCAATTCTACTTACATTGCTACTTGTACTTTTCTGTTTAACAATAGCTGTGTTACATTTTTCTCGAATAAATTCATATAAACGTATGTTCGAAATCAATACCGATTGTGACATTTCTGAATCGATATCAAAAATGAGCATCGAACGATTTATATTCATCGCATTCGTAATTGAACAAAATGAAAACAATGAGAATATTCCTTTCCAAAGTAGAATTAATACTCTTTACATTATTGAAAATATTTCGTAAGCAGATACTTGAAAGAATTTTTTTGTTCGTATATATCTTTCAAGAGATATTTTCGTGTGAGTTATTTTCGTCAATTTGACTTAATGAAAGATGCTGCAAGACTCAAAGTTCAAAATTTATAGACTATTCGAGCTTATATTTTTAACAAAATTTCGTACATTAGCTAGAAAAAAATCTTAACTTATTGGAAGTATTGACTTCAGGCTTCAAAATGGTACATTTCTTGTTTTCAACAGAGTTGCTTTGAATTATTAAACCATGCAAATATTGAAACAACAGTTGTGAAGGATTTTTTCGAGCATTGAAATAAAAATTTTCATCAATGGCATCTAGAAAAAATATTGAAAACAAAGTTTTTTTTTGATTTTCACAGTTAAATATCAGTTCGAATGGAGTTTACACTCTCCATTCTATGCTTTAAATTTTCTTCTACAAGTATTTCTGTATGTATTCATTGGAAGAGTGTAGATGATTAAAAACTTTTAGCTGATGCATTTTAAAGTGTATTTTTAGAAATATAGGACCTTGTCGAGTAGTACATTCTGGTTTCTATAGATTTACTATGAACTGGAAAAAAAACAGGTAAGGGGAGGCTACAAAGTAATTCACGAACTAGTAAGAAAACTATACGTCTATTGGAAAACAGAATCGCAATACAAATGTATGCAGTGCGACGATTTTAATAGTAGTCTTTATAGCATTCGATCTGTTTATAGCTAGAACATGGAAAATGACAAGGCTCATGTTCAGAGATATCGGTTTTTAGAAAGTATTTTCAAGATTTTTACGGATTTCGATTAACATGGCTTATAACTATCACCCAACTTTGTTCGATTGAGATAAAAATTCTATCATAAATATTTTAGAATAGACCCCAGAATGAAGATTAATTGTTTTTATTTTTGACTTTTGAATCTGAATTTATAGGATTTTCAAAGTTAGCATTCGATTTTTCAGGTAGAGATTAAAGTAGCTCTTTCAATAAAAAAATTGAACAAGCTTGATTTTCATTATGAGACTTTGCACAAAAACAAAGCAGAAAATCTTTTCTAAAATAATGATATTCTCGAACATGAATCTCACCAAACACTTGGCAATGCTCTTAATTTGGTCCTTAAACAGAAACATTTCGAAAGCAGTATGACAATGGAAAAATCAATATCTCGACTGAGAAAAATAAAATTGAAAAAAAGTTATGCTGGCGCGTCTTCATTTCTGACAAAGATAGTCTTTATCGGATAATGATCATTTTTATAAAAAATGAAGAAAAATTGTCGAATTAGTTTGAATTTTAAGAAAAAATTTTTCGCATAATTCTTAAGAGGATGTGAACATTCATTAATAAAACGTAAAAGTAATGTCATTGATGATGTTTCTTCAAAATTGAACTGGTATTCGTCTATTGCATCATTATTGAATTCAATGAAACGTTTTAAATACTGTAAGTCGACAAGAATACGATCTGATGGTGACATATTGAGTAATTTAGATAATAGAGTGAACTATTGGAAGCAAATTAAAGTCAAAATTCTAGTTTTATATGTCAAAATAAGCTTCGAATAATGTTTTCACTAGATGAAACTATCAAGTTAAGCAAAAAGTATAATGCTGAACTTTGTATTGATGTTATAGAGAACTTTAAGTGACATTTTTCAAATCACCTCTATATGTTTTACAGAAAAACAATAGTTCAGAAACTTAAACTCAATGAACTACGGTTTTTTTGGCAAAAACAAAAAAGACCTGTTTGAAAATATTTTTTGAAAACATATACAATTTCACTAAAATTCTTGTTTACTTAAGATTTGGGCAAAACGAGATGATTTAATATATGAGAAAATAAAATTAACAGTATTCATATGAAACATTTGATTAATGTTTATATTGAACCGTAAGATGATATGCCATCGAGTCAATTTTTTCGCCGAACTTGTTCAACAACAACAGAAACAGTTTTTTGTTTCTTGTTCACAATTTTCTCTTCGATGAGATTGCCGATTTCTTTTTGGTAGCGTTCCTGTAAGTCACAATGATATTTTTTGAGCTTGGTTATTGATGTTTCAAGTTTTTCGAGTTTTTCATGATTGATTTTTCTAATTTGTTCATTTTCGGCAAATGTTTCATTTGATTGACGAAATTTTTCACGCATTTCAAGAAATTCTTGTTCATTTTTAATGATTTGTGTATCTAATTTTTCGATGTCGGTTTGTATTGATGATAATTCTTCTTTTGCTATTTGAACTATTTTTTGTGCATTTTCTTGTCCTTTCTGTACTTTACTTACTTTTTCTTTGATATTATCCATCAATTTGTTGTTATTTTCAATTTGTTGTGTCTTATTTTGTAGTTTACCTTCGATATGTTGCACATCATCAGATAACTTGACATCACGTGCATTTAACAAATCGATTCTCTGACGAAGATTTTGAACTTTTTCATCTTGTAATTGAATCTTCGCACGTGCCTCCTTATGTTCACGTTCCACATTAGATAATTGTGTACGCATCTCATGAAGATTTTTCTTCAAAGTATCCTTTCGTTCGGTTAATGTTTTGCCATTTCCAATAACTTGTGTTAATTCTTCATTGGTCAGTCGGAATTTTTCATTAAGATTCTCGAGTTCTGTTTTCTTAACATCTATTTCGGCTTGCAACTCTTCAGCTTTTCTTCCTTCGGCTTCAATTAAGGTTTGGAGATGGGTCACTTCACGAGTTTTGGCTTTTTCAGTATTGATCATATCATCATACGATCGTTGAGTTCTATCACGTTCACCTAAAATAGAATTGAAAAATAAAAAATAAATATATGAACAATGTAAGTTTTCTCTACACTAGCATATTTCAATCGATTATTACAATTGCTTTCGACTTTTTCTTGATAAGTAATTACTTATTCGAACTAATGATGGACATGAATATACTATAAATTTATTAAATAAATACTCTGTCTTACATGTAAATAATGAGACTTGAGTATATACATTCGAAATAACAGAGTAGTCGATATATCTGAGTCAGATCACAAATATACGAACAAACTAGTTATTTTACTGTCAAGAAATGTTTGTGTGGGCAGACATTTATGGTTTTGTAAAATCTAAAATGTGCCACAATCCTAACGATTGAGCATAGAAATGTACTAATTCCTATTGATTTAGGTAATTATATTCACTATTAGCAAATATTAACAATTTGATTTGGTCGAATTGTGTTTCGTGCATCCCTGATTGAACCAGACAAAAAGTGTCGCTTTTCACATTTTTCTATCGAATTGGTCTCATTCTATTTCCGCGAACGCATCGTGTAGAAAAAGATTAGTAAGAAAAATATCTTGAGTCGAGAAAAAATTTCAAACACAAAAGAATCCACTTTCCAGACTATGCTGACAAAAAAATATTTTAGAACATCATGTTTACAAAGACTTGTACAATCAAATAAAAAGGTGATGATACTATGTGATATCTTTCATCATTTGAATTGGAAAGCTTTGGCATTTTAGATGTATGAATATTGAAAATATTCTTGTGAAAAAAAAAACTACATTTTGTTCCCGACGTAGAAAATATAAATAAATAGTGCTATTGAAAGTTTTTATTTTTACAGAGCTTGAGTTTACATTTTAGCCGACTGGTAGAGGGCCATATTATTTAGTTCAAAAAAAAAAATTAGTAAAACTTTGATAGCATAGAAATGACATTCCATTCAACTTCGATGGTTTTCTTGCAAACAGATTCTGGTATAGATCTTTTTAAATGGATTTTGACCGAAATCTTTCGAAATTTATCCGATAAAAACTATGCTATTTTCTTTAACGAATACGCATCTTTAGAGTCGATATTGTTGAAAATAGTTTTGATTAGATATCGAGAAAAATATTGATCAGCTTGTTCAACTATCGAAAAGATAAAAACTTTACAAATTTCGATTACACTTTTCAGAAAGTAACTAAATCCATCTCGTTTTGAAATAGATCCTACGATACGTTTTCAAACTTCATTGTCACATACCTTTGAGTTTTTGTACAACAATTTTCTGTTGTTGACATTCGTCTGTTGCTTTCAATAATACTCTATGATTTTCTTTCATAACTTCATTATGTTCATTAATAACCCTTTGATGTCTCTCAATTTCCAGTTTCAAATCTTCCACATTTGATTTCAAATCGTTTCTTTGATTATCATATGTAGTTCTCTCTTGTTGAGAACGTTGCAAATCATTTATAGTCGTACTAAGTTCTGTTTGCACTCGCTGTAGTTTATTATTCACCATGCGCATATCAATTTCTGATTGTTTTTGTCGTTTCATAGCATTTCGATGTTGTTCAATCAATTGTTCAGCATTAGTTTTACATCGAGTGAATGTTGCTGACTTTTGTTGAGCAACAACTTTTTGAGCAGCAAGTTCTTTCTTCGTATCACTATGCTGCTTTAAACACTCGGCAACATTATGTTTAGCAGCCTTATGTCTATCACGGAGTTCACTTGTCTTTGACTTTTTACTTTCATGTTTTTCGCGTGCTCGGTCTAGATCTGCACGAGCTCTATTCAATTCTTGCTGTTTGGTTTGAGCCATACCCGATATGAGCGGAATTCCTGATGATGCTATTCCGCTCAAAAGCATCTCAAGAGGTTCTAAACTTCTTACTCGAGCTTCGGCAGCAGATTTTTGTAGAGCAGCTTGTATTTCTTCAATTTGAGCCTGACTCAATTGTGCTTGTAATCGTTGCTCTTCATGTATCGCTTTATCATATTGGTTGCTGTGTTCACGCTCGAGCTTTTTTAATTGAGTCAATGTTCTTTCAGCTTCTTTATGCTCAGTTTCAGCAGTTTGTCGATCTTGTACAGCGGCTTCTTTTCTCTCACGTAAATCATTACATTCTTCAGTTCGTTGGCTAACCTCTTTATCGAGACGATCACGTTCACCTTCTAATCGTTCAACGTCGGTCGATTGTTGTTGCTTTTGTTGTTCAAGTTGCTTAACATTTGTATCGGCACGATGAAATAATTCTTCGATATTCAGTAACTTTTGTTGAAGTCTATTTAATGAATTCGTTTGTTTGACACGTTCATCTTCGAGATTTTGAAGTTCTTTTTCGAGGCGTCGTTGTTCATTTTCAAGTTCTTTGCGTTGTTCCTCGAGTTGTGTAAATCGGGCTTCAGCATTGACTAAATCTTGTTTTATTTTTTCCAATTTTTCATTAACCTCTCGCATTTGTTCTCGTAATTCATCAAGTTCTTTTGTTAATTCTTTGATTTTCTCTTCATTTTTTCGAATTTCTTCTTCAAGACGTGCAACTTTTTCCAATTTATCTTTAAGAATAGCTTGTAATTTGGCAATAGTTGCATTTAATTGTTGAATTTGTTTTTCCAAATTTTTCTTTTCTCGTTCCAAAATACGTTGTTGTTCGTTTAATTGTTCAATTTCTTTATCGATGGCTTTGATTTCTTCTTCATGTCGTTCAATTTCTCGACGTAATTCTTCAATTTTTTTTTCGTATTCATCACGACGAGCGATTTCGATACTCAAGAGTTCTTCATTTTCAAGAAGCTCTTTTGCAATTAATTCGATCTGTTTTCTTAGTTCACGTTGTGACAATTGAAGATAATTTTGTGCATTAGCATTCTCAGTTTCTTTATCACGAATTTCTGACAATTGTCTTTGTAGTTCTTGTTGCTCTGCGTTGAGTTCACCAACTACTTTTGTGTATCCATTTAATTCACGTTCTAGTTCGGGTATCTTTGCTCGACAATCTTTGATACTAGCCTCTTCGAGAGTAATGGTTTTGTTTTTGTCTAATTGTCTCAAATACAAATCTGTTTTTTCCTCTTCTATTTTTGTCATCTTGTCGGCCTGTTGTTCTAGTTGACCAAATAGTTTGGCACTCGCACTCAATATATTATCACTTTGTTGTTCGATTTGTTTTTTTTCTTCAGTCAATATTTGTTTTTTCTCTTTGAGTTTGTCGTGTTCAATTGCGCAATGATCTGTAGCTTGTTGTTTTTCCTCTTTAATTTGCTTATATTGAGATGACCGACCGCCGAAAAAATCATCAGCCTCAGCATCATCATCATTATTAACGACGGGTGGATTTCTATTTGCTTGAGCCATCAATATGAAAATCAAATCTAAAATTATTAACAGATTTCGAACCAATAGTTTTCATTCAAGATAATAAATCAGTTATCGTTCGTTAAATAGTTATCGTATGTTGACTGTTATCAGAATGAAAATAAATAGAAGTATAGATCTAAAATAGATACATAATTTAGAACATTGTATTAGAAAGTTTTAAACGAATATTCTTGTAAATTTTATTTAATCTCTTTTTTTCCGGTAGTAATTATATTTGTCTATATTTTGAACAGAACTGTTTCCTCCAACTATCATTGCCGTTTTATTTTTTTAGGATCTAACAAAAAAATGAAAATCGAAAGATGAGATAAAAAAAACTGCCAATAAAGAAACTTTTAACAAAAGAATCACATTCAAAAAATTTTTCAGTGCCTACCCAAACGAACTAATAGCAATAGTTGTACAAAACATTTTTCATCTTTAATAATTGTGTCATCTAAATGATGTTTAAATTTTAATAGATCAGCAAAAATCTATACAGCAATTTGCATATGAATAGATCCATAGATATCGTTATGGTATGAATGATCAGGCTTCGTTACTGTTTTACATTTAGGTCTTCCGTAGTTTTTAACATGGAATCAATCTATAACTATACTACGAGTGTTCGAAATATTGTGAAGTCTGTTGATTTCAAATTAGGTATGAGACTGATTTGATTCGAAACAAATTCGAACTGATCGTGCAAGTAAAATTAGTAACAGATTCGAGTTTTTTGACAAAATATTCTCCTTAAGACTTACAATACAAAAGATCTTGTTGTGCCAGACAGCACTGGTCGAGATCTTTCCTTGAATGTCAAATTCAATTCTATCCCCAGACGGATTAAATCTCTACATAACGATTTTCAACAGAATTTGGATTTCATGTTTTTAACGCCAATTCATGTAGGGTATAGATTTACTCTTCCTTCACACTCTGGCCCACATCCACTTATCCTTTCTGTCTGGACAATTTTTAAAAGTGTATCTATTTTGCCAAGTAATCGCTAAAGCTAATCTACAAATAAATTATCTGCCCAAAATGCTAGAATTTGATTCCTGTAGCAATTGTTTCACAAAATTATTGTTTTCGTCTGTGATGAGACTTGCGAAACTCAGTGTCATTTCTGCATCAATTAAAGCTTAGATTCACTGAATCTCGTATCGCTGCTCGTCATTTTCCTCAAATGAATTAATATTAAAAGTCGATTCAAAATGGATAATTCTAAAGATAACGTTGAATTTTTCTATCATCATTAGAACTAAAAGTCTGCCTACTCAAACACCAACGAGCAAAGTGCGGAGTTTTCTCTATTACCCCTTGAGTTCTTCAGAATAGTTACAGTAACTTCAGCATGATTCATATTTTAAGTCTACAGCGATAGTACTGAACACTTTTTCTTCAATATCTGTTTCTATAAGTTTTCTCTGTTTTAGCATCTATTGTTGGACATAAAATTTCATACGGCTAGAAATTTGATACTATCCTTTTATACTAATGAAATGTTCATCAGAGATAAGAATTCTGAATCATTTGTGGACATACTCTGCATCTCACAATAGGTTCACTTTGTTATCTCTTTTATTTCTGCGGAAGAACTGGCATAAATAATACGAAAAGAAAATACTTATATCATAAATTATAACGGCGAACACGAATTCCGTTTCGTTTCAATAATATAACTTAATATCAAAGTGATCTAGTAAAACATATTAGGCGTATTTTTATAAACATCCACTTAATAAAAATCAATTAGATATTGCACCTTTGGATTAAATTCAATAGACTATATTTCGGTGACTGGGGTTCAATGACAGCTTGTAAGCACGAAGAATCGAAATAATTATCAACCATTGAAGATTTTGTGTTTGAATGCCGAGAAAAACACTTATCTTCGCTTCGACACATAAGACTATAATAAACTGATAGTTATCCATATAAAAAGTCGGATTATAAGAGACTCTTTGTGATTAAAAATTTACTATAACAGCACTACTATGATTCAAATTCAATCAGATTGAAAATAATGAAAAATCGATTCTAACCGATTATTTAGAAAAATTTATTAAAACTAGGGTTTTTTTTCATTTTAAACCTGATCAAACTTGGATTATAATAGTCTTATTGTAGTTGTTTTTTAATCACAAAATAATCTAATACGATCAGATTTTTTCCAGTTTTTTTTTACATGGTCTCATTGGGTGTCGCAAATGAATTACATAATGATTCAGCTTTTATTAATTTGTATCAGTAGTCACGGTAAGGTCTTTCAGAGCCTATAGACACTGGACCCTGATAAACACTTATTTGACGTCTCTCTCGGAATGGTGGCCACAGAATGATAGAAATTTGCAGAGTAGCTCATTAATCAAATTCAACTTTCAAGGTTAAGACTAATTGGTAGACTTTAATAGAACCTTCTAGTCTCTTGAAATAAGTCTCTTATATAAATTATTAAAGTTTTGAATGATTTTATAATTTATATACGTTATGAACTCACAAGTCTCAATAAGATGTGCACAATAAATCTCACATACGAAATAAAAAAATATGCCTAATAATATACCAAAAAGCAAAACACAATAGGAAAAAATCGAATATTTTTCTATTAAGAAATCCGTGCCGTTTTGTATTCATATTTGTAAACAAAAAGCAGCAAAATAAAATATTTCCATAGTTATCCTTATAAAATGTTGATATCGAGTTATTACAATAGTATACATATCCTCTTTGTGTATTTCGAAGATTTTTTTTTTTTCTTGAAAAAATCTAGTTTAATGATATTAGAACATCACAAGAGCTGCACGCTTAATAATATGAGATTCGCGTTCAGTCTGATTGACAAATACTCTTGTCCACACTAAAGTGTAGTCCGAAGAAATAATATGTCTAACTTCGGTCTAGTAAGGATATGACAAATCTTACGTAAAAAGAGAACATATAACTCGCCTACCATGTATTGAAATTGAACTGAAATACGAAGATTGATAGTGAGCTTTGAGTAATATAATAAAACTGAAGATTATAATAATGGAAGATGGAAGAAAATAGAATAATTACAAAATAAACTAGTTCATTAATCATTTATTTATTTTGCACTAAAAATACAGTGAAATTTTCAACCTCTTTCAAATGATCATTTTCAACACTGAAACGATCAGAAAGAAATTGACAGATAATATATAAAACAATTGTTTTTTTATTTTTTGTTTTCATTCTATTTTGAACATTATATTTCGACAAATAATTTCTCTTCTTCATCGTGAAGTGTTTAGAACAGAGGAATGAAAATAAAAAAAACATATGTTTGATATATTATCTATAAATTTCTTTCTTATCATTTTAGTGCTGAAAACGACCTTTTGCAACACGGGTTGAAAGTTTCACTTTATTCTTCGTGCAAAATAAATCAATGATTGGTTAATTAGTTTATTTTATAATTATTTTATTCACTGACATTTCATCGAACAATAATAATATTAAGAAAATAGAAGAAAAATTAAAACAATATCAATAGAAATGATCTATATTAGCTATTGGGTAAAAATATTGAGAACAATGCGTGTAGGAATAAACCACTAGTATGAGTCAGAAATAATCTAGAAGAGGAAATGACAAGAGAAGAAAGAAACCAATGACCGGTAATATAAAAGGTAATGGTAGGAGAGACCTCTGCTGACGTTAATAAATAACAACAATACTGAGATAAATTTATGTGTCATTGATACATACGGATACGTGATTGGTGCGCGCTGTGATTAGCAATATTCACAAGTATATGCTTTTCTTTATTGCACTTTAGAACTTGCCCTATTTGCAGTTTTTGTGTTCTTGTTATTACATGTGTAAAATATTTTTTTGCCAATAAAGAATCGATCGATTTCAAATGTCTGCTCATATTTTATTTGTGAATTAAAATAACGTAGCGTTCGTAGAAAAATACAACGTAGAGATTAATCGAGTAAAAATAGAAAACTGAAAATAATGATTAAACTTTCAGAAAACATGTTTTATAAAAGTTAAACAAGAAATAAATATTACATCGTTTTTCTAATGTATTAAATAATTATCTCTCATTCATTAAACGTTATTAACTTGATGAAAGTTGAAGATATTATTACTTTGTATATTCAAAATATCGTACTTGATCGTGTTAATATATTTGTTCACTCTCTTTTCGAAAGATCTAATTTACAAACTAAATTTATCATTTTATACTTATGACTTACATACTTTTCTATACAAGTTTTTCTCGCTGAATATATATAATTATTCACTCAAGTTAAAACACATGTAAGAAATGCTTTTTGTTAAAATACACTATCAAAAAAAAACATATAGCAGCTATTTATTTGATGATTTATAAAGTCTTCTGAAAACTTATATACTAACTTCCTAGTGTAAAATGTTTCAATTCAAATCAAAATTATAACTAAAATAAAATCTTCATAAAGGAAACTACTGTACAAGAAATACTTCAATAGCCCAAATCATCTCAAAATTCATTACCACCTGTAAAAAAAAAAATTTATCAGCATTCCACATTCAACAAAAAAAAATCCGTCATTTTATCATAAAGTAACTTTTTCTGAACAATTTATCTTGATAGAATAATGTATACTACAAAAATTTCAATATCTCAATAGCAATATAGATTAGTCAACAGCAGTTTTAGGCTAAATACAGCAAAAATGGCTTATCTTCGAAACCTTGCCTCAACTATGAATTCAACACAAAAGTTTTAGACCGAATTTCTCACTCCTTCATTTAGTTTCTTTATACATTTTCTAAGAGTACATTTTAATTTCACAGTTAAATTAATATCAAAAGAGTTACTTAATAACAGATCTTTTTCAATATAATCAACTGAAATATTATACATATGAACAACAAAATCAAATATACACGATTCTGCAAACTTGATACCGAGTTCTATGAATTGTAAGAAAAATTTATCAGAATTATTAATGTTTCTATGATGTATATAAAATTAT